TATCATGTTCATGCTCATGCATTAACATGTTAAATGCCTTGTTATTGTTTGTCGTGTTTGCTTTGTTTGTTGTGTGTTTGTGAGTACATTCCAAGTACTCACCTGGCGTGTCATGCCAGATGCAGGAGAAGACGGGCAAGGAGTTGATGTCGATCGGTACGCCGCGTTCTAGGCCGTGTCCCAGCAGTGTCCTTGCGGAGTGGAGTCCCGCTAGCTTGTCCTTCCGCTGCCGAGCAGGAGTTTCCCTTATCGTCGAAGCCCCTGAGATGTTTACTGTGTACGTAAGTGCAGCCGCATCGTGTGTGCCGCTTGGCCTCGCCTGTCATGTAATATTCGAACCTATGTATCTGCAAGAGATCAATAAAGCAGTTATTTTCTGTACCAAGTTGTTGTGTGTTGCCAGAAGACATGATCTCTGGACTGGCAATACAAGGTAAACCGGTTGCTCTTAGCCGGGGTGCCACATGACCCAAATGTTTTCTAAAAAATTGTATCAACATTAGAAGCATTCCTGTCAATTTGGTCGCTTTTCAACGTTGTATGGATTTTCTAGGGTTTTCATTGCTTTCTGACATTCAAAGAATTTTTGTCGTAGATAAATAACAGAAATCAAAAATACAATAGTTAAAAATATTACAACATTTTTTCTGTACAAGAACATTTTCAAAGAGGAGACCTCAAAATTATTCCAAACCCAAACTTTTGTTAAATTCTAAGCCCAAAAATTATTAATAACAACTTGTTTACAATTTCATACACATTTCTCAAAATCAAACATATTTCTATACGTGGATATTAAATTGTTAGCATTAAAACACAATATCTTGTTTTAAATTCCATAATTATAAAAAAAGAATTTTTTAATCCACACTCGGACGCCTCGCTTGACTCAGCGAGTGCAAATATAGCATGAAATTGATTACAAATTTTGGCTTTGTTTTTCAGACATTTTTTCCTGCAACTTTAATGTTTTCATGATAAATAATACTTTAGAAAACAACTAAGGCCCAACAACCGAGCCCGGTGCGTTTAATGGGTCGGCCAGCGCGTCACCAAGTCAACTACACGTGGCGTAAATCTTTTTTAGTACCACCTCGCCTCGAGAGAATTGCGTTAACCGGCTTAAATAGCCGGGCGTAGTCGGAGACGGTGAGGTTCCCCTGCTTGAGGTTGCGGAATTGGCGCGTGAGATGAAGGTAGCGAGCCCCCTGGTTGGACTGGAAGTAGTCCCGCACGCGAGTCCACACCGTGTACGCATCGTTGGCGCCCCCCATGATGAGCTCGAGGAGGGAGTCAGCCAGGGTGAAGAGGATCCAAAGGGTCAGCCGTTGATCCACGGCAAGCCAGGCGGCGTCGGGATTGGCAGGGGGCGGGTGAAGAACATGGTGCTGGACGCGATGCTGGAGAAGAACGAAGTTGAAGAAAGTACGTCACTTGATGTAGTTGTTCTCCGAGGGATCGAGTTTGAACTTGATGTGATTTGAGATGTGGTCTTGATGGAAGTT